GGACCCGTTCCAGTGGAAGCCGCGTTGCTGCTCTGTATTTTCCTGGACGCTGTCCACATGCCGTAAGAAAGCTGAAAGCTGTTAGGTCCCAAAGTGCCATATGCAAACAACACAAAGCACATGCTTTCCTCTCTGCCTGACAAGCCAGGCTTTATTACAGTTCAGCCGTTTTGTGCACAGCGCTGTGCCGAGGCCTTTGGAGTCTGTTGCTATCAGTGCAGGGCCAGACGGCACAGCAGCTGTTTTAATAGTGCCCCCTAATGTCCCCTCTGATCCAAGTCAGCTCACCTGGTGTGAATCGAGTCTTTTTTTTTGTTTCAATTTCCGCCATACTTTTACCTCCGTTTGTTTGTCCTGTTGCTTTTCTTTTCAGAAATAGCCTTCCTTTTCTCTCTACTTGCCTCACTCGCTCTCTGTCTGGCAACTCTTTAGCCAGACAGAGAGTTGCCTCAGGTGTATTAGAGCATGACTGTCCCCCCAGTCACCCTCTTGTCAGTGCAAGAACAAAGCTCCAGCTCCACAAATGATAATGCCATCCAGGCTCAGACCCGCAGCGCACCTACAAATCTCCCGAAAGCTCCACCTTTCTCTTTGTTCCACTCTCCCTTTCTGCAGGTTTCATCTCTGCTACTTTGCCTATCTCCCTCTTGGTGTGCTCCACCTCCCTTTCTGCACCACTGGTTCTTACTAGCCTCCTGAAATCTATCACATTAATACCTCTTGCATGGTTTGCATGTGCTCTTTTATGGGTTTGAAATGGCGTAATGCAGTCTGTAATTACAGTTCTACTAAGTTATTGGCCGAGGAGGACATGGTTCTCGAAGCAGGGTCTCAATGGGCGTCCCTAGACTTTGATTAAAGGGTTTTGGACCGTGTGGCTGGTTGCATTTGTTCTCCTTTGTTTGGTTTCCATTTGTATGACCTCATTGTTTTATTTTACGCCTTTGCACAGATCTTTTGTTTTGGCGTTTTCTGACCACACTTGTGGAATCAGAATCAATCGGAAATATTTTAATACTGGAAAAAAGCCTAAATTAATGCTAAATAGTATTCAAAAGATGATTTTATTTATTAATCCAAAAAACACTTTGCACTATTTAAAAAAATAAAAAAGTAATCATCCCCCTATGATTGATCCCACTCGATTACTATTATTATTACAGACTTGATTACTGTTCTACCTGTAAAACAAATCAAATGAGTAAACAAAATGAAAAGCTATAGAATATGCTTTGAATAAGAAACAAATACATTAATATTTGTCAGTAATTCCCCCAAAATTATTGATCCCTCATAAAATCTTCTCCGATGGGTGAAAAACGTTTACGTTGGCGATAATATTATTGTTTTGAGACTATTTCCAAGTAAAGCTTCTCAAAGATCAGTCAACTTGGATTCATAGCAAACATTTAACACTGGAAGACATTTTAAATATCCTAAATAAGTAAACAAAGTCTCTGTAAACAAAACTGTGCTTCAAAAAAAGGGGAAATTTGAGACCAGAGCACCAAACTGAAGCTTTTTGTCATCCAGTGTTTGGAAGAAAGAAAGACATGAGAAAAACAAACGAGCTCGTTTTAATTGATCATGCAATTAATTGATTTATTACCTATTGCAACAGGCTTAATTGGCTGCACCCCAAACAAAGACTGTGGATAGTAGCTTTTGTAGCACTAAGACTGTTTCCACTGTGTGTATTAATGCTTATTAAGGTATATTGGGTGTTTGAAATATTTTAACTGGCACCTCCGATTTTAATTATTTGTGGACAGTTGTGGTCTTTTCTCTGTCTTGCGTTTGTTTTATCTAAAATATGCAATAGTGTCAAAAACATTTTTTTTTACAGCAGTGTAAGATGGCGGCATCAGACCCAAACGAAGGACCGGCAGAACGAGGAGGGAGGAGCTGCGGGTTTTGTGTGCCGTTATTGTTTTCTCAGCGAAGCGGCTTAGATAAGACCCGGCACACATTTATGGGTTTTTACAGCTCCCCCGCTTCGCTCCGACTTAAGATTAAACTTTAACTAGTGTCGCCCAAAAGTAAATTGTGTTTGCCGTTTCGGAAAATATCACACTGTAGTTGCCGTAACTGGTAATCTAAGCCGTGATCAAATGGGAGTAAAGCATTGCCTTGGGCTGTATGAGGACACAGGTGGTTCTTAAGGTACACATGACAAGGTTGCTAGTCCTTTCTGTCAAACTGTATTAGTGAATCAATCTGTCATCAGAAGCCCTTTTCTGATGTGTTCAGACGGAAATGAAAGATGATGTGTGCTCAGCAACTTCAAAAGGTTGTCAGTTTGTTTTATATGATTTGAAGTCGGCTGCATAGGCTGGGTTTGACTGAAAGCATATAACAATAGATTGAAATTGCCTCTCTCTCATAATGCGCTGCTCTCCAGCGCTCAAATCACCATGAGGGTTATACGCCCACTGTGAAAGACGGTAAAAAAAAAAACAACAACTCTGTTTATCTTAATAGTTTTCCACCCAGAGTCTGCATCATTTCCTCTCTTTCCAGGCTACGTTGTGCCTCGATGTCCTTCGGCTGACTACCTGCGGTTTTTACAAGTCGAAATCTTAACACAACAACTGCTGCGTCTGCTTGAGATAGTTTCCTCCGCTTTCCTTTGTGTTCTTCTCAGATTGACAAAACCGGATATTGTTTTAGAGCAATGGATCTCTTTTATATACATTTAAAATCCCCCCACCCTGTGGAAACAGGAGGTAGCGATTATCCATCACTGCGGCGCCGTTGCTCCCTGTTAAAGAGCCACTCTGTTTGCGGCCTGTGTGTTCGGGCCTCGGCTCTGTCACTCCCAGACATATTTTCTCTCGGTTCACGACTCGTGGCTTTATGAGGCCATGGTGATTAACAGAGAAAATCCCAGCCTGTCTTCCTGTGGGTCCTTGTCTATCCATAGGAGATAATTATAGCTGCGGATGGTTGTAAATACAAGCTGGGCTGGGGGCTGTCGGATGAGGAAATGGGACATCACCAGAGCTCACCTGGAAAGGGACGTAAATCAGAGCCTGGGAAAACAAAGACGTGTTGAAGGCAACAAGAGGCAAAGGCCGTCTAATGGCACATCTGCTCTGATTTCCCTCACTACAGAGTCCAGATTTAAAATTATCCACAACATCAACAGCAGAGGAAGTCACTCTAAACAGCTTCTTTTGCCTTATTAATGACTGAAATCCAAGATATTTGGTTTCCATTTATAATAGCAAGGACAGAAGTCGTAGAGGAGATGCACCATGTACAAACAGTCCTGGGTTCGATTCCCAGTCACGTCTTCCCCTTCTCTCTCTGCCCTTCTTCTTCCTGTTCAGCGTTTGTTGAATAAAGTCCTTTAGTGCCAACAAAAAGTCTGCTGTTGAGCCTTTTTCTTTCCCTAATCACACACAATAAGCTTATTACTTTATCTAACCTAAATGTATCTATCTATACATCACTGTACTGTTTTAATACACACCATTTTTAACACATCTAGTTTTTGCAGTGTATGCAGTTGAATTTTCTACTAAACTAGACTCCAGGAGAAAATTTCCTAGAAAATCTATGAAACTTATATGCTTTGTAAATGTTACAGCAGTAACCCAATAATGGCATTTATCTTCATGTTATGCTATGCAGACGCTCCTTCTGCACTGATGAAGGTTTGCTCATTTTTGCATGTTGAATTCTTGACAGTTGAGCTCGACCTATATTCTGATTAATTGAGCTAGTATTAATTTAATTACCACAAACATAAAAAACAATGCAAGAGCAGCTTTAAGAAAGTTTGGTTTAGTATTTGTTGAATAAACACCCTGATACATTAAATAAATCACCGTTCTTTAAAGAAAACCTGCAGTTTTCTAACTGTGAGGTTTGGAGATTTTCACTCATCATCCTGATAACTCTTCCTGTTGGCACAATAAACTTAAGTTTTCATTCATTTTTATTTCACCTCCAGTTATTTTAGGATATGGGTAGATATGTTCTTGTATTTCCTCGCTTTCGAAGATCAGACTGCGTTTGCTTTACTTGAACGGAAAGCTTTCATGTCTTTCATATTTTTAAGGTTCGCCAAGAGAAATTGACCTCTGTGTCATTTACATAGAACAACAAAGGCTTCAGTTGTATTTATTGCATTGTAATAATTGTTGCAGGTGCCAATAGAAGAATAACAATTATTCAATTAATATTCCCCGCCCGCCACTTAATAAATATACTCAAATTAAGGATTTAATTTCCCAAAACGTTTCTGCTGTAAGAAAAACCTGCGCCATTACATTTTTATTTCTACACATTTTTTAAAGGCAAGGGTCCCAACAAAGGCAGAGCGGGAACCGCGTGCAATAAACTCTGAAGAACAGATGAGGTTAATCATCCATCCTCGCTAACTGATTGTTTTCCTTTTTGCTACCAACCTCCCTATGAGCAAAGAAGAGGTGTGTGATTGTGGAGTTTTTATTGTAGCTAATGCGTGCCTTCTCATTGTTTTGCACGGACTCCACATTGTGTCTTTTAATAGGAGCTCCAGGCAATCATTGAGGTATTTGTGTGTAAAAAGTAATTAAAATTACAATGGGCTACGCGGCGCGTTGCTGGGCGGGATGGAGGGGAGCGCGGCGCTCGATGACTTGGCTCCAACTCCCTGCCCTTGTACTTGTTCATTAGCGATGCATTGGTTCTTGCTCGACCCGCCCATCTCATCAGAAGCAGGAGCCTCGCAGACAAAGACGAGGCTGTATGGATGTGCCCATTATGATAATAGCATGTCCCCAACTTTTTTTCACACAGGTATAGGGAATAGATATATCTGGCACAGAGGAGTGTGTGGTTGAATCCATGAGGTGGACTGTGGATGTAGTTTCCAGGAGGCTGAATTGACTCTTTGACTTTCAGTGCATGTACTTGCTATTGACTGAAGAGCTGGTGCTTGGCCTTGGACTCTTGTTAATCGTAATTAATTTTTTTCTCTCTCCTCTCTTTCTTCCTCTCTCTTTGTGCAGCCGTACATGGACAGAGCGTACAGATGGACTCCAGTAAGTCCGGCTTTGTGGGCACACAAGTGGAACTGCGCTGCATCTTCGTCAACAGCAATCCGCCGGTGAAGATCTCCCAGGTCACCTGGCAGAAGCTGTCCAACGGCACCAAGCAGAACGTCGCCACCGCCAACCCCACCCTGGGCGTGTCCATCCTGTCGCCCTTCAAGGAGCGGGTGGGCTTCAAGCAGGCGGCCGCTCTCCAGCGCCACCAGATGGAGGACACCACCATCGTGTTCTCCAACCTGCAGCTGTCCGACGAGGCGGCCTACATCTGCGAGTACACCACGTTTCCGGCGGGCAACAGGGAGAACATGGTCAACCTCACCGTGTTCGGTAAGGAGGCAGTAAGAGCCCCATCGCCAGTCGGCTTGATTTTGAATTGAATCCAACTGCAGCCGCTGTTTTTGTTTCAGTCGGTTCTTTTTCTTCAACCAAGGCCTCATCTGATATTAACTTCCATAGAAATAGTTGCTGAATTAAAAAAGTGGTTCTGAATAAAGTGTTTTGTGGTCAAAGATAGGTTTCTTTATTAAAAAAAAGACCTTTTTAAAAGGGTCGAGAGCACTTTTTTTGCTCAAGGAAAGACATCAATAACGCACAATAATAAGGTGAATAAGCAAAGAATATTGCTAATTCTTTGCCCCTTAGCTAAACTTAGTTCAGAGGGGATGTGTTGTTTATATTCTCTTTGCCTGAGTTGGCTAATTGATGTAGATGTTTTCTATGACTGTTTGCTTTGGTTAAATTCACATTTTCTTAATTTGCTGAGAGTTCAGTGATCTCTTCCAGCGTTAATCTCTCAAATTTAGACAAGAAAATCATCACAAAAAAAAACCTAACTCCTTGAATCTGATGGAATACATTTGGAAAAAGGAAACGCATTCAAACCGCAGCCTGACTGCTACTACAAGCTTTGACAAGTTGTTGAACAAATGCAGATTTACCAGAACGTAATTGTGCAACTGTAATTCTGAATCGGACGTTTTAATCCAGGAAATGAAACAGGTTAAACATCTCAACATCAGTTAAGAAGGTACTTCTTCAAACGTTTTTGGGTTTGTTTTTTTTTTGCTTATCGGAGGTCATCTGAAATCTGTAAACAAATGAGGTTTCTGTTTGACTTAAGACAGAAACTGAACACATTTTTCTGAATCAGATAATAGTGTCAAATCCAGAGATTTCCTTTACAGGAATCTCTGTCTTAAAGGAAGTCTGATTATATTTTACCAGATGCTCCTCCACTGTTTTGGCGTCTCAGAAATTTTCCCACCCATTGAACTTTCTCACATTTTGTAAAATAACCACCAGTAACTATGTTTCCACCCAAATGTCAGGCAAATTTTAAGCAAACTTTTGAAATTTTGCAAAGAAAATATGAATGTGGCGCGTTTCTATCTGCTGGTTCAGAGGGAGTCAACCAGACGAAGCAGAGCGTAATTTCGTCGCATTGCAATAATAAATAAGATGCAGAGGTTGCAAACTAGCACGGATCACTCATCTCAGAAAAATGGAGAGAGTTCTCCCCTTCGTTCTGGAGGTTTGGACTTTGAAATTTCTCTGAGTTTTGTGCCTCTGGTAAGCCACAGACCCACCAGCACATGGGAAAGTTTATTTGGCAAACACTTTTTGCACATTAACTCATTCTTGGAAAAGGATACAACCACCTAAAGGAGTTCTTTATTATTATTATTTTTGCTGTTTCCATCAACAGCTTCTACTGCGATACTCCATAAAGTGCATAAAAGAAACGTTGAAGGGAACTAATGAAATGTAATGAGAATTTATGTCAGATCAACACGTGTGGTACATTACTGAGAAGAAAAAACCTTAATTTTAATTTTCTTTATTCAAAAAAGATATATATACAGGCAACCAATTGTCTCCAGAAGACCCCTAAATATTAAATAGAGGTCATAGTTGAATTACACAGTAAATAGGGATTCATTGTGAAACCCTTAGACGGTTGTTAACAGTATTTGTCTGATCTGAAATTGTCTACTTTGTTTTGGTTTGTCCCATAAAACCTCAAGAGAATACATTGAAAATTCTTGTTACTACAAGACAAAATGTGGAAAAGTTGTAGCGAATCATGAAGTACTGTAACTGTGTTATGTACAGTGAAGGCCAGAGCATTTGAAACAAATTTCCAGCCGCCTATGACCCAGTCGGTCTGCAAGGCCCTCATTCCTCTGCAGAACTCACTGTACTTGTTGTGAAAATCACACTTCTAATGTGATGATCGGCACATTAGCACCGAAACCAGATTATAAAACAGGAAACCGCAGCAGAGAATAGTCACTAAAAATGAAAGGTGGGACAGGAATCAATAAGGCCACTTCAGAGAGTGTAATTTGGTTTGAACTGTCCCGTCCAGCAAGGAAAAAGCAGCGCTGGAGATGAAGCTTATCTTGAAAAGAAGCAGTTTTGAAAAGGTTGTTGGCTAACTCAGATTAGAGAGTTAATTAGTAATGAAGTGCTGGTGTGTTTTCTATTGAATCCCAGTAAAAAGGAGAAAAAACACTTGACTTGAGTAGTCCCTGTTGCCTGAGCGCTTCTTGTCAGCTCTTAGTTCACATTTTACGCCGCTCTGCCTCCCCAGGACTCTTCAGGCTGCGTCATAACCGTCAGGAACCTACATGCAGATAACCAACCATCAGTGTTCAAAGGGGCTTCTTCGTTGCTCGCTTTCAGTTATGCATTCGCTTAAACTCCAGCCTGCCTTTTGATGTGCCGAAAGTAGATTGCTAATTGGCAACCCACAAAGGACTGAAATTGGATGACTGTGCATTTGGGTAGGCAAATCTAGCTTTGACAACTCCTTTGCCTTTGAGGAGGGAAAGAGGCTGGATTTAACACAATTTTCATCCCAGCCCTTTAGTTTCATCTACTTCATACTTGATTGTAGATGAAGTAGTCACTCTTCTTCCTCACTGAGATTGTTTAATAAAGATCCACTGATCAGAGTTACAGCTATGTGAAGCCTGGATGTGCTAATGCTAACTCTATTGTTATTCCTCGTTAAGTACTATGATTACCCAAATTAAAACTAATTTTCCCGTAGCCTCCCTGCCATGAAAGTTTATTAACTGCTAGCGGACTCCTGGTATTTGCGAGGGTCAGAGACCACAGCTGCCTGTGAATAGCTAAAATCAGCAAATGATTGAGACCCCCTCTTAAAATGCTCATAACTACTTATTTTAATAGTTCAAACAACAAATGCCAGCCAACAACGTGTGAAATGTGTGTAGCTGTTTCAGCTTCCCAACCTGCATTTATTTAGAATATATTGATATTTCCACAAAGAAGCAGAGTTTTTGCAAATAATCTAGAGTTATGGTCTACAGAAAAACATGTAAATTGTGAATACTGAACCTCTAATGGGTGCAGGTCCACTGTATTTGTATTACAGATGTCACACTGTATGCTACAGATTAGTTTTTGTCAATGAAGACAAAATAGGTCGACAAGGTGTCTATACCTTAAAATGCTAACGATTTTACCTGGCTAATTGACCTGCTAACCCTGCTAATTATGAGAGGTTAGCACAACTGCTAAGAGAATATACACCTTTACTTTTTCAGGAAAGTAGTTTTCTTTAAAGTGTATTTCATTGCATTTACTTTCAGTCCAAAGTCTTTTATTGTTATTTTTTAAATGAAAAAAAAATGGTGAGGTCAAAGGATAACAGCTAGTAAAATAGAAATTTAGTTGATTTTATGAATTAAAAACAGATCAAACTTATAATATTTGCATCCTTTGGATCCAAGTGGTATTAAACATGTATGCTTTCACAAAAAAAAAGTTTTGTAGTCCTTTCTCAGTCCTTGTAGCGATGCCAAATCGCTACAAGTCCACCAAGACCAGTCATCAGTTAGTCTGTATCTTATCTTCCAACATGGCGGTCGTGTCATTTGTTTCCCTCTCATTCAGCTCGACCGATGACTCGGATGACCCTAACGAGCCCGACGATCGTGGCCAGGGGTAAGAAGCGCAACATGACCGTCGCCACCTGCACTTCGGCCAACGGGAAGCCTCCGAGCACCATCAAGTGGAGCACATTGTTGAAGGGCGAAGCCACCTTGCAGGAGACCCGCAACCCGAACGGCACGGTGACGGTGCGGAGCAGCTACGTGGTGGTCCCGAGCCGCGAGACGCACAAACAGAAGCTCACCTGCATCGTGACGTACCGGGGCGAGAGGATCACAGACAGCGTGGTGCTCAACGTGCAGTGTAAGGAAGTTTTGCGCTTTTCTCCCATCCAAAAGTTTACGTCGCTGCAGCTTCTGAAGTGCACGGCAAACAAGCTGAAATGTTTTACATTTCAAGTCAAAACTGGTAGATTAAACATTCATGCAGGGAAGAATCTAGACTGAAACACCAGGCTTGTCATCAGTCTGGCGCTGACAGTTTCCTGAACTTTTCTGCTATTATGATTGGAAGATTTCATTCTTTTAGCAAACTTGACACGATCCTATTTCAGTTGTTTACATGCACTGTATGAAAAGACGCCAAACTTTTTTTTCCAATTAATGTCTGACATCAATTCAGGCTGAGCTTTTCCTGTTTCTGGTCAGTTACCAGCAGCATGCCTGGGATTACTTTGCCTTTAGGCACAGTTGATCTTGTGGTTTTGTGTGCTTCTGATTAATTCATCTAAGATTACCATTGCAGTTAATTGGAAACACACCTGTGGGTGTATTTAGAGGCAACGCTGCTTTCTTGTGTGACATCATGGAAAGAATCAAGAGGAAACAACAGAAATGTCACAAAAATAATTGTGTATCTTCACCAATCTGGTTTCTCTGTCATTAATCTCACATTAAGCAAATGGATATTGTTTGAATGATCATAACTGTCTTAAAGCAGGAAAAGTTTAGTCTGATTAAATGCCAGACAATGAAAAAAAAAACAGTTATATGTCTTTTAACATAGCGTATCATTTGGTCGGAACCATAAAGAAGCGAGACGTGAACTTGTTGGAAGTTTTATTGCGATTCAGCAGGGTTGCAGCAGTGACACAACGTTTTATTATCACGTTCTGGAGGCGTTGAGCTGACATCACTGTGCCTTCCTTGCAGATGAACCCGAGGTGAAGATCGAAGGGTTTGATGGAAACTGGTACCTGAACCGTCAGAATGTTCAGCTGACCTGCAGGGCCGACGCCAACCCCCCTGTGACGATCTACCAGTGGAAACTGTGAGTCTGACTCAAACCCGTCACCGAAGCCCTTAAAGGCTCCGAAAACAAGATGTAGCGTGACTGCGCGCTGTTTCTCTCTCCTTAGATTTGTGGGGGGAAACAAAATCTTGTTGCTGAGGCACAGGAGGGTCATTTCACAGAGCGGGAACGCTGAGCTAAAACGCACTTTCCCGACATTTTTATACACGAGAAACCAATCATCCGAGATAGAAGCAGCAGCCTCGTGTTTTGTTGTAAAACGTGTAATGAAGATAAAACCCCAGGCAGAGTACAATGGGCCTATTACAGCGGCAACACCCCGCCCTATCTACCTGCCGGTCACAGATACTGAGAGATAAATGCAAACGGTGCACACTTTATACTTTATGTTTGCTTCTTTTGCTTTTAAGTCTTTGGGCCAGCATGCAGGTGAGAGAGCGTTATTGTTGGCGCGGTTGTGTTCTCAGCAGGGTATGGAGGCAGCGGCTCGTCCTCGACTACTGAAGCCGAGAAGTTGTAGATTAAACCATCATACCAGCTGAGATCAGTATTTCTGATTCGGTGATGATCAGAGCGAAGACAAAAGGAAGAAAAGGTACAGACAAGGGTGAAATTCAGAATAACCTCTCGGAATGAGATTCCAGAACTGATAAGTAGGAAATATAATCCGAAAGGTATGCAAACAATGCAGGTAAATTTAGATATTCTCACCATTGGAGCATGACTGGGTGAGAACAAATGTTGATTTTGGACCATCAATGCTTTTTAATCTGAAATAATAAATAATAACAACAATACAGCATCAGTTATTTCTAGATAAATGTTGAGTGCACACTTTTCAACTTATTTAGGAAATATGTCATTTAGCAAAACATGAACAAGATTATTACGCAAACTGGTGGCTTGACATTTGACAACTCTTCTGAGCAGAAGTTTAGTGTGCGTTTAACCAGCTCTGCTTAGTCCGCTTTAGTCAAACTGTAGTTCATTTGCCTAGAAGGTCCGGTTCTTTTAGGGAGGTGTGAAAGCTCAATCGAACTCTGAACTCTGGTCCGCCTAAAAACCAGGTCTCCGTTCGGTTTGAGTAAACTCTGGTGAGGTTCAAATGCATATGCGAAGGTCAGTTAGACCTAAGATTGCTCCAAAAGCAGGAAGCAGACTACAGCGCAGGGCATTCTGGGTAAATACAACCAAATCAAACAAGTGATTCTAGGCAAGAAATGTCTACAATCAACCTCTTGAATCTGATGCAGCTCCTTTTGTTATAAAATTTTTTGAAGAAGGAAGTTGCACTCCTGTCTTCTTCAGTGTTTTTTTTTTTTGTCGTCCCCTTCAGTGGTTCTTGGTGCAGCGCCA